CTGAAACAGACTGCAAATTCAGGATATTAGTGCAGAAATCTTGAAATTGTCTGCCACTCAGACTTCCATCGCAAGCTGCACAATGAGCTACACAAGCAGCAATTGTGAAAATCAGTGACAATTTCAACCTCTCCACTCCCACATAGCTGTGTGAAATTCCCTTAAACACTAACTTTTAATCAGGTGTTTAAATTGAGATTTGCACAGCAGAACTGGTCCTGACAATAATTTATAATCATGGAGTGTTATTAAATAACTTAAGTTAATATTTTGCTTCATCCCGTGTATGTATTAATCTTCAACTTGCTGTACAAGTGCTTTTTATTTAATTTTGGTGAAAAGTGTCATTTCAAATTGTTCTAATCACAGTAAACTCGGACTGCTCCATCTCAACTGTAATTTAATTTTAGCATTCCTAACTTGCTCCTATTTCTTGTTGTGTTAGTTGAGAAATCTGCTAATAGGGTCCACTAAGTCTGCCTTCAGTCAGTATGCACACTGGGATTCATTTAGCTCCATATGCTGCAAGATTGTCTTTCAGTAGCCTTGTTAACAGGGCCCTTGGCCGTTTACAGGCTCGATGCGGAAATAGAACTGTAATGCTATCCTGATCATGTTATACAAATGTGTAAAGTGCTTTGACTAATTCTAAAGACTGGTATCTCAAAATTTAAATTGGTTTGAGCAAATTGTTTCATACAGATATTACAGAGCAGCTATGTGAGTGGTATTTTCCACTAACCCGATACTGCCATAAGACTACCTTACAGTTGAATAATGTTGTCAGAGTTTCAGTGACATCCTACATCAGGAATGAAGGCCATGGTGTGCAATGTTTAGCTGAAGAAATCAGATGGCACAATCCTTTGGCTGTTCATAACTGGCAGAATACAGACCATCCTCAACTAGCACACACTTTTGAAACAGAAAAAAAAGTATTGTTAGATGTAAAAGAAAAATGGAGTTTGCTGGAGAACCATAGCAGGTCTGAAAGCATCTGTTAAGAGACGAACGGAGTTAATATTTTGAGTCCCATGTCCCTTTTTATTAGAAAGGCCTACCATTCGATGTGATTCCACGATTAGGAGGACTCGCTGAACAATTGCATGTGCAATCAACTACATTATTATAAATTAAAATCAGTTGACCTTGTGACTTGGCTCATTTTAACTCTGAATGTAAGATACTTCCAAGTGTAAAGGTCCTGTTTGCAAACTAAAGGAATATGTTCAAGCCTTTTGCTTTTGTATTGTCTGGGAGCTAGTGGAGTCTCTGATTCTCTGGTTCCCTCGCCTGTTGTGTAAATTGTTTGATTATTGGAAATGTGTAATTCTAGTATTTATGCTGGTGAGTACAGGACAAACAGCTTCAGCAATTTTTATTCATTTTATGGGATGCGGGCATCACTGTCTGGTCCAACATATATTGCTCATGACCAATTGCCTGAGAGGTGGTAGTGAGCTGCCTCCTTGAATTGCTGCTGTCTCAGGCATCCACAGTTCTATTATGGAGCTTCGGGATTTTGAACCAATAAGTGAAGTAACATTGTTTTATGGGGACTGTAAGAAGATGAACTGCAGATGCTGGAGATCTGAAACAAACAAAAACAAATTGCTGGAGAGGGGGTCTCTGGATTTGAAATGTTAACTGTCTCTCTTTCCTCAGATGCTGCTGGACCTGAGGAGTTTCTTCTGTAATCTGTTATTTGCATTATAGTTCCAAGGCAGGATAATGTGGGGTTTGGAGGAGAACTTGTGGATAAAATATTGAGAAAGGGGCTACATGCAACAACATTTAAGATGAAACCTTGTCTTTGACCCCATTTATCTTCTCAAACTATCAGCCCATTTCCATCTTTTTTTGTTTCTTCTTCAAGTCCTTGAACATTCTGTTGCCTCCCAAACCCATGCCCTCTTTTCCAGAAATTCCACGTATGAATTCCTCTAAACCTAATTTCAATCTACCACAATCTTAATAACAATTCTCTTCAAAGTCACAGATGACACGTTGTGACTCCAGCAAAGGTAATCACTCTCTCAGAACATAGAACAATACAGCACAAGAACACACACTTCAGCCCACTATGTCTGTCCTGACCATGATGCCATTCTAAACTAATCCCACTTGCTTGCACATGGTCTGTTTCCCTCCACTCCCTGCCTAAACTTAGTCCTTCCTGGACTTGCCTGCAAACTTCCCAATAGTTGATCTCTCTATTTTTCTCTAAAGCCTGTTGTCCAGCTCAAACTACATGCATGACCCCATTTCCTTCTAAATAAAAACCAAAAGAACTGTGGATGCTGTAAATCAGGAACAAAAACAAAGTTGCTCGAAAAGCTCAGCAGGTCTGGCAGCATCTGTGGAGGAGAAAACAGAGTTAACGTTTTGGGTCCGGTGACCCTTCCTCAGAACTGATGGTGGCTGGGAAAATGTCAGTTTATATGCAGAAAATAGGGAAGTAGGTGAGGTAGGGAGTAAACGATAGGATAGAGCCCAAAGACAGAGAAAGACAGTTGGACAGACAAAGGAGTTGCTAATGTTCAGACTGGGAGGGTGAATAGTTGTTAATGGGGACTGTTAGTGACTAACAACAGGGGGTGTGTAGTGTTTTGTTACCACATAGCCTGCCACAACACACCCCTGTTGGTCACTAACAGTCCCCGTTAACAACTATTCACCCTCCCAGCCTGATCGTTAGCAACTCCTTTGTCTGTCCAACTGTCTTTCTCTCTCTTAGGATAGAGCCCAATCGTTTACTCCCTACCCCACCCACCTCCCTATTTACTGCATATAAACTGACGATTTCCCAGCCACCATCAGTTCTGAGGAAGGGTCACCGGATCCGAAACGTTAACTCTGTTTTCTCCTCCACAGATGCTGCCAGACCTGCTGAGCTTTTCCAGCAACTTTGTTTTTGTTCCCATTTCCTTCTATCTGGTCATAGCCATAAAATTATTGCAAGTGACTTCTCTTCTCTTGCTGTTCCTGTGCCATTACCTGTGGTACTTCCAAGTTGCTGTAATTTCTTAGCTACATAATACCCTTTGCCAATACCATCTGACAACAGTTTTTACATGCATGCTGATCAAACCCAGCTCTGCCTCACTACCTCTTTTAATCCCTTGCACTGTCGCTAAACAGTCACACTACTTGCCTGACTCCAGCACTACATGTTCAGTAATTTCTTCCAAAGTATTAGGAAGCTGGAGGTCACTTCTTTTCTGATATCCTAGTTTCAAACTGTTCTTGAGCCACTGACTCCATCTCTTTCTTTGGCAGCATTCTCAGGCTGACGTATTTTCAACAACTTGATGTCATTGTACCATTGAGATCGACAGCACAAAACTTTGGCCAATCATCATGTCCACATCATTTTAAAAAAAACAATAAGTACCTAGATATTCTAATCCCAATTGGCACTGTAAGTGCACATCTAAATACTTTAAAATGTTGAGTGTTTCTATTTCTCCCACCTTTTTCGAGGCAATGAGTTCCAGATTCCCACCAACCTCTGGGTGAAAAAGAGTTTCTTTCCATCTCCTCTAAAAACTTTCTGCCCCCTGGTTATTGATCCCTCCATATGGGGAAAGTTTTCTTCCTGTTCACCCTATTTATGCCCCTCAATTTCATGGATGAAAATAATGCCATATATGCTGCATATACAGAATTGAATGTTGCCACTATTTCTACCAGATCAGCATCCAAGGGATTTTCATTGTGGTGGAAGAGAAAAAAAAAGTTGCATGTGAGACTTTGATTAAATCTTACGGTTCCATTAATCATCTAACAACTTTACGGAACACAGTCACCAGGGACAATTGGAGGCCTTTTGAAGAAGGACTGCCATGTAGATGAGTTGTTGAATTTGAAGTAATCTGTAAAAATCTGAGTTAATGTTCTGTCTATTATGAATATGGACACATGAGTAATTGATTATTTTTACTGCATTTGCATATGTCTAACTGTAGAAATCATTCTGATATGACCATAAGTGTTGGAATGAAAACCTCCCAAAAACTTGTAACTTAACTGCTCTATTGATAAAATCATTGTGCTCAAGTTGCTTAACTGCTGAAGTAGGAAATATGTATACATTACTGCATGGAAGGAGGGACTAGTTTAGTTTGGGATTATGGTGGGAGTGGTTGACCTGAAGCGTCTGTTACTGTGCTGCATGACTATGCTCTGCTCCCAGGAAGTGTCCACTCTCTTCATAAACTCTCCAACCCAGGCAGCATCCTGTTAAATCCCTCTCCAGTGCCATCATATCCCTGCTACAAATGTAGATTCTAGAACTGCACATAATGTCATCATTGACCCACAGATGAGTTTCTGACTTCATTGTGTTATCACTAAGAGCACATGTTTCAACTTATGAAACTATTCAACTCCGTCCTGATCTCAATTTATCTCATGTTGTGAAGCCCTTTGTTACATCTAGAACTCACTTATTCCAATGCACTGCTGGCCCATCTTCCAAATTCCCTTCTCCAGAGATGATCCCAGTATCTCTCTGCTGTCTTTGTACTAACTTGCTTCACGTCCTGTTCACCAATCACTCCTGAACTCGCCAACTTAAGTGATTGAAATTTAACTCGAGAAGTAACTTTGAGGGCCTTGTTCCTCCTTATTTCTCTAATATAAGCTGTCTGTGATCTGTGTGTTTTGCTGTAATTCTGGCCTCTATTTACTTCAGTATTCCCAATTTTAAATCCGGAGGTGATGTCTCTTGATTCAGAACCTCAGTCTAAATGATCTGAGAATAAAAGTTCAAATTCCACGTGGGCAGTTAATGAAACTTAAATTCAATTGAAATCTGGAATGCAACGCTGGTCTAATGACAACCAAGTAAGGACTGTCAATTGTTGACAGACCCCACTTGGTTCATTAATGTTCTTTTAAGAGCAGGAAATCTGCTATCCTTACCTTGGCTGGCTGACATGTGACCCACAGCAATGTGGCTGACTCTTAACTTCTCCTTCAGCAACTGAGGTTGGGCAATAAATGCTGGCCTAGCCAGTAATTCCCACATCCTGTGAATAAATTTAAAGAACACTGAGGCCTTAAGCTCTGGAATTTCCTCCCAAAGCTTCTGTGCTTTCAGTGGTTCCTAAAGCTGACCGCTCTGACCAAGCTTTGTCATTTTTTTTGTGTCTCAATTTCCAATTATGTTTGACAAGCTGCTGGAGAAGCACCTTTACAGTATGAATACCAATTGTTGTAGAACCAGAGACAGACAATTTTTGTAATGCTGTTTAGAGTACACCAGTTTCAATCTGATTGATGGAAATAGCCAAAAGAGCAGCATTTTCTCTCTTCCCTGAAAGTAGAAGTAGCTGGTTGTCAAGCACAGATTAAGTTTTTAAGAATCTATTCAGTGTTTATACAGCTTGTGTAGCAAGTTGTCAAAAGTAATAGTATTCTAAGAAACTGAATTATTATATTCCATCAATTCATCTGCTTTCTTCGGCTATGACTGCTTGAGGCCCAAAATGTTTCATTGTCTTTATCTCTGGAGTGCTTGCTGATTGGTTGTTACAACCTTGAAGTGATGACAAAATTCAGTTCCGAAACTTAACGTTGTTTGTTTAAATCTTGTATTGATTGTTCTGACTGTAGCCAGGTCCTACAAAAAATCCTCGATTTGCTATTGAAAGCTAAAATGCCAATAGCACAGTTACAATGTCACTCAGTTCACTTTGAACATCCTGAACAAAGCTAGAATTTTAAAAACTATGAAGTCAGACCTCCACTCCCCAGTCTACATAGTTAACGGAAGTTAGACATGGAAAGGCAAAATGCCACATCTCCTTCACCTTTTAGAGAACTGTAAGGACATGACGTAAAGCCTGTGCTGATTATTCCCTTCCTGTAATTCATTGTAGCAAGGATAACAATGGACTTGTCTTCCTCACTTGAAAAAAATTCCATTGACAATAATGGTAACTGATACAGAGGCATTTTAGTATTTTCAACTTAGTTTTCTTTTCCACATTTGCATGCAGAATTTCTGTTCATGTGGCTCAGCTTCTTTTGTTCTTGCTGAAGAAGGAAAGTCAGAATAGTTTCCCTAGGCTTGGACATTGCTGCTGTAATTTGCTGTTCTTGGTATAGATGATGGTAAGCATTTTCTCCTCTAGAGAGAGAGAGACAACATGTAAGTTTAGAAAACTACTGTGAATTCATCCTGGTTATTACTATCTGTTAAAGTGATACTTCTGTTTGCACTTCTACTTCTTAGTATTTTATTTTAATTACAGATAAAAAGCAACCAGCTATGTGCATGTGCATTTTTCCTTATTGCCTATGGATGCCAGCCACATGTTGTAATTTCCTTAGCTGATAATACTAATGTGTAATTTAATCATCCAAGATTTGGGTGAGTAAAAACATCCAAGACAAAGTAAAAATTTTGCTTGCTTTGGGAAAATCTAAGCAATAGTAGGACATGAAAGGTACCATAAGACTTATTGATTTTAGAAAGCTTCATTTGAAATCAATAGGTAAACTAAGAAACAAATGCACATAATTCAAGTTTGTATTAAATTATAGTAGTACATAAATAGCAGTCTTCATTGCCAAGAGAGATTGGTTGATTGTTAGGTTGTGTATCCGCTTGTCAATTTTCTAGTAGTTATTGAAATTGGTTTATCCTCTGACACAAAAAGTCAACTTGTTTTTAAAAAAGCCTTCTACTTGAGGACCCTTCCTGACTTAGAATTATATGAAAGTTGATGGAGTTTCTTCAGCAATCAACCTGTGGATGAGCAGTTATACGTTTTGCAGTTGCTCATGTACGGAATAACTTGTTAAAAAGAAATTCTTCTGATTTTGTACAAGAAAAAGGAAGTGTCATTTTTATCTGCTTATATGAATGCTGAGTGCATATCAAAGACACTGGCAGTCTCCAAACTGGATCAGCATTCTAAAGAGGATGTCTAATTAAGGTTAAGTAGCATAGGGTCTCAAAACGATGCCAAACCAGATTGAATGACATTTGGATTTCTAAATTACTTGGTATTTGACGGATTGTTCATTGTAGTATAATGTGTATGATATTTGCTGGTTTTTGTTCTTCAGATGTTAAGAAGTTTGAAACTTCAAACATTAATATGTCAACCTTGACTGTTGTGAATTGAGTTGGCTTGACTTAAACATTGCTTTTTTGTGGTCTGTTCGACACAGTACTTCAGGGTTACAAGTTCCTACAAAAACAGAAGTTGCTGGAAAAGCTCAGCAGGTCCGGCAGCATCTGTGAAAAAGGGGGAAAAAAAAAATCAGTTGTTTCTGGTCTGGTGACCCTTCCTCAGAACACTTGCTGAGGAGCCTGCTGAACTTTTCCAGTAACTTCTGTTTTTGTTCCTGATTCACAGCATCTGCAGTTCTTTTAGTTTTTACAAGGTGCTACATGGTCTTAAAAAACTGGAATATGGTTAGAATTTGGAATGTTTAACCTTTGTCTCTAGATGGATAAGAATATAAAGGAGTAGTAGTACTCCTTTTGCAGTAGTATGCAAAGCCCTGTTCAACTTTGTTTTCAATACTGTATAGAGTTCTGTGTGCCAAACTGTTAAAGGATATGTTGGCCTCAGTGAATGCAGTACATTCACCAGTGTTCCTCTGGCCTGATTTGAGGACAGATTGTGAGCTTGCATTCTTTGGAATATAATATATTAAAGGGTGATTTGAGAGGTTCAGGATTTTGAAAGTGTTACAACTGTGATGGGAAGAATGTGCTGATAATCGAGCCCCACTACTCAACAATTCACACCATTAGAATAAAAGTTTAAATTCATTCGCTAAAATGGCTAGTTGATTCTGTTTAGTAATGCTATCTAGAATAGTAGACTTTGACCAGGCTCCTTCAGTAAACTCAATCTACTTAATATTATTCTTAAAACAAGTTTTTATGACTAAGTGGTAAAACTGGTTAATATCTAAAGTCTAATTTGGAATTAAAATTAATCAGACACAAGCACGCTCCCATATGCACAGGACAAGAACAGCTCTGCAGTGATGATACTTTACAAGTAAATAAAAAGGGAAAGTTACCCTGATCAACTAGTGGTCTATAAACAATGATAGAGGTATTGACTGTTCATGGTCCATAGGTGTTTGTTGACAAAATCGATTGTTATCAGCTGTATACTAATGGAAGATTTTTTTAAAAATCTAGTTTGATTGGAAATCAAGCTAGTTCCAAGTCTTTGGAAAGTGCTTGCAGCTCACCTTTTTAGGGTTTATAATGTGACGAAAATACTGATATACTGACTTTGTCAGGTTCCCAATCTCCCAGGGGGAAAGCTACCACAGTCCCCTTATTATTGCTACTACTTTGGTATTTGTCAGATTATGACACCAAATGACAACGTGGAGTTGAGAAATGGGTGTAGGTCAAGAATTGATCCTTGAGAATTTCAAAAGGTAATGGTGGAAAGAAGTGGGGGGAAAAAATGCCACTGCAACACCTTTTCAGGTAAGAGTATAATTAAGTGGTGCCAGCCAAGGGCAGTCCAACATGGGTGAACAGGGGGTGCATGCAGTTGTTGGTGAGTATTTTCTGATTTGCACACTGAGTGAGGGAATAAAGGCTAGGCTTTGGGAATTTTAAAATGACTTGGTTAGTTTTCTTTCAGTGAAAGACATAGATGGAAGTGGTGTTGTATGAGTGGTGAGGCATGCAAGGAGCTTGATGGCCTTGTCTGTGATTGAGAAAATGGAAGAGACAGTTGTTTCGAAAGCTGCAAACATGGGTAGGAGACTTCATTACAGAAATGTTAGAACAAGGAGGCAGTGAAGGTGGTGCTGAGTTGAAGTAAAAATTGTTTTTTTTTTCCAATGTTTGAGTAATTTTCCTGTGAAGGCTGGGGGAGTAAAGCAGTGAGCACATCTTGGTGGCAACTTGATGTGTGACCTCTTTGGGGATTAGTTAGAGAATGAGATTTTTAAAAGGGAGAGACTACAAGGGTGCAGCTGAAGAAGGTGCTAAAGGAGTGGAGGTAACATGGAATTCATTGCTAAGGGCCATGTCACCAGGTGGTGATTGGAATCAGGATGCTCATGGAAGTTATAGCAGAGTGAGGAGGAATCGAAAAGGGGAAGGATGTCTGCATTAAAATCTTGCCTTCTGGATGATGTCATTCTTAAAAAGATGTTCAGTGCCAAGAGCATTTGTTCACTTGTGAATGATCTGATGGAAGAAGTGGAGAGGAGCCACAAGCATTGATCTTAAATTTTCCAGTGAGCATTCTGGATGGGGAATTCAAAGACGACAGGATGGCTGCTGCTTGTAAAGAGCATTGATGACTGCCTTGATAAGACAATGAATTGCAAATTGAGTGGATCAGCTTGGAGCATTGGAAAAGCTGCTGACCAGATGTTAGACATGAGTAAAATGAATGTTGGTAGAATTAATTGCTGCACTGCTCAAAGGATTTCATAGAAAATGGATGCATTCAACTAAAGTATTGTTTTCAGTTCTGGGTGCCATCCTTTAGAAAAGTTCTGCAACCTCTTATGGGCCTTCATAAGAGATTTACAAAGTTCCGGGAATGAAGTATTTGGAAAGGGTGGGATTGTTTTCCATGAAGGAATGATGATTGAGGGGAGTCAATACTGGAGCTGGAGGAACACAGCAGGTCAGGTAGCAGAGGAGCAGGAAAGTCAACATTTTGGGTTTACACCCTTCAGCACTGGGGAGGGGGAAAGGAGCTGGGAAATAAAAGGGGTGGGTGGGATGGTGATAGGTCGATACTGGTAGGGAGTAGTGGAGATTGATCAGTGGGAAGGGTGGGGTGGATAGGTGGGAAAGAAAGACGATGGATAGGTAGTGTCAAGTCAAAGAGGTGGGGATAAGAGGGAGGGTTGGACATGGGATGAGGCAAGGGGTGGGGAAATTTTGAAACTGGTGAATTCTACGTTGAGCCCAAATTGGGCTCTAAGCTCCTGAGGCAGAATAGGAGGTGCTGTTCTACCAGTTTGCATGTGGTGTCAGTGACACTGGAGGAGGCCCAGGATAGACATGTCACCAAGTGGGAAGAAGAGTTAAAGTGGTTGGCAACTGGAACGTGGTGTTGATTATAGCATACAGATCGTAGATGCTCCGCGAATCTGTCATGGAGTCAGTGCTTGGTCTCACTGATGTAGAGACCACCACATTGGGAGCAACGGATACAATAAACCAGGTTGGAGGATGTACAAGTGAATCGCTATTGGATTTGGAAAAATTGTCTGGAGCCTTGGACGGAGTGGAGGCAGTGTTGGGGGGTGGTGGTGGTGTAGGGCAGGTATTGCACCTCCTGTGGTTGGAGGAAAAAGTGCTGGCGTTGGTGGGGTGGTATGTAAGGACCAGGGAGTCTGTCCTTATTTTTGTTGGTGGAGAGGTTTGTTCAAGCTTGACTACACCTCCTCACCCACCCTCCAGCAAGAATGCAACCGCTTACTCCCAATTCCTCCATCTCATTTGCTCCCAAGATGGAGTGTTTCACTCTGACATGACAGATGTTGTCTTACTTCAAGGGCCACAACTCTCTACACCCCCCTTCATTGATTCATGATGCCCTCAATCGCGTCTCTTGCATTTACCACACTTCTGCCCTTACATCCCCTCCCCCAACAAAAACAGCAGAGTCCCCCTAGTCCTCTCGTAACACCCCACGAACCTGCACATCATCCTCTGCCACCTGCAATCCGACCCCAAAGAGCTATTTCCCTGCCCACCCGTCTGCCTTTCATAGGGACTGTTCACTCCACAACTCCCTCATTCGCTCCAAATTCCCTACCAGTCCCGGCTCCTTTCCCTGCATTTGCAGGTGTTGCTACACCTGGCCGTACACCTTCCCTGTCTCTTCCATCCAAGGCCCCAGACAATTTTTCCAAATCTTACAGGGATTCACTTGTACGTCCTCCAACCTGGTCTACTGTATGTATTGCTCCTGATGTGGTCTCCTCCACATTGGTGAGACCAAGTGTAGACTTGGTGAGCGAGTTGCAGAGCATTTGCGCTGTATGCTATAAGCAACATCTTCCGGTTGCCAACATTTTAACTCCCCCCTCCTACTCCCTTGGTGGCATGTCCATCCTGGGCCACCTCCAGTGTCACAATGACGCCACCCACAAACTGGAGGAACAACACCT